TGAATGAGTGTCTCTGGTGAGAGTCTTGATGGTTTTGAAGTTGCAATCAAGTGCTTCCAGGCTGAAGAATGACGACTTCAGATATGTTATTCTGACTCCATTGTGGTCAGGAGAGTTTCAATAGGCTTACATTATCTAATAATTCTTTCATAAGGCATGCATAGAACAGTATACAATACAATATACAAAAACAGTAATACACACACCGTGTCCTGAGGATATGCACGTTCATTCATAGAAAGGTTTGGCTATGAATCAATGGGGAAAAATTCCTTTCCTATGGGACTTATGTGTCTATTTCAAAGTAAGTTACGTGAGGGTAAAACTCTGAATTCCATTGAGCCATGGTAACCAGTGTCCTGGGGAGGGATCGTTCACGGACATCCCGGCAACCAGTCCGATTGTTGGGTGAGGGGTCTGTTGGGTTATTTGTTAAATATAACAAATAATAATGTGACAACATCTGTTACACTAGAATATCTTTACAGTTAGTGTAAATAGACACTACATAAATGTATATTTAATTTTGTCACGTGAATGTTAAAAACACATTGTTTAAAAAAAGCAATCTGTTTTTTACAGTTACAATCATCCATATTTGTAAATGGGATAGATTACCTATTTATCAGTATTTTCATACCACTGACAAAAGTGCTTAAATATTTTAACATCACTGTCAAGGGTTAGGGTTTATTTAGGGTTCATTTTGATGGGTTGGTGTGTTGTCTGTTCTGTGTGGGGCTTTTCTGTGACATTAAAATCAAAATCCTGTTTCTGTCACAAAACGACCGTACCGGAAAACTTATCAGCCATTTTTTTTTAAATGCTGTTTCTGTGTTTTCATGAACACTTATTCTGTAACATGCTTGATATATAAAAAAAAAAAAAAAGGATTATACAACTTAAATTATATCTTTTTATCTCGTCTCTCCCATGACAGTCATCTCATATCACTGAATTACAAATAATAGAGTAATTGTTTTATATAATTGTATAATTTCACTCTAAAAGTATTGTTATGCTATTATTGAGTGGCTACTTTGCATTGTATGTAATGTTTTTGAACGAATGACTTATCTGTTTTCTCATGGATCATTGCTGCAGCCACCATCTTGTTCCAGTTTATTGCTTCACAAAGACATGAAATCTTCTTTCAGATACTTATAATGAGGTTCTTTATCCTTTTTATCCAAATCCATGCATCCAGTGTGGCATTTCCCGCTGCAGTCACGAGTGTCATGGTGTCATGGTGTTTGGTTAGGTGGAATGAATGAAGGGTTCCCTACCATTATACAGCTGAAGAAGACTGAAGTCAGACTGAAAAGAAGACTTTGTGAGACTGATGCCAACTTCTCCATCCCGTGAAAAACAAAGGCTTGGTGTTTGTGAATTACCTTTTACTTGGATATTCATCACAAGAGCCAAAAGTAAGTTTGGGGAGGGATGCATCGTATTGTGTACAAAAATTCCATTTTGGGTTAATATTTGTGGGGGAAGTTTATCTTTTAGATGCTGCGATTGGTCGTCATTTTATAGTTTCAGTAATGTAATTAATTCAACAAGGAAGTCAATTTTAAAAGGCCAAATATTCCATTCAGTCGGAGTCTACATTAATAAATGGTGACGACAAACTGCATGCATAACAATTATAATACAACTGTAAAAGTGCTGTTTAAAGTAGTTTTTGATGAAGCTTCCAATAGCATGTAATGCCTCAGGACACTGCTTGTCACACTGAACAACATTTCAAGTTATTTTGACATACTGCTTCCAGCACTTAGACTCCATATCCTTAATACACATCAATAAGCAAAGCTTTAACTTATTTAATGCTTAGCGATGTTGATGTTGACACTGCGATACTGAATAAAGCAGTGTTTCCCAACCTTTTTTTTTTTAGCCACGGCACAGTTTTGATCAGCACTGAAATATAGCAAAATTGCACAAACATGCATTGATATATATATATATATATATAATCTAATATACTTAAATCTAATATATTTACAATCTAATACCATAAAGGATATGACCTAATATAGGTAATGTATTTACAAACATTACAGATATGTATTAGCAGTCGTAAATCTTTTTAAATGTATTTATGGTCATTAACATTGTCCTAATTGGAACTACTTTACGATAACAGTGTTTAATTTGAATCGTTTACATTTTCAGTCGTTGAGGAGAACCAGCTAAAACATGAGACCATTACGAAAAAGATTCTAATGTATTACATTCATTATCCGTCTGAGAAATGTTTGTGTTCAACAGAAAAGCGTTCCGACATGCAACAGATAACAACTATGCAGGATTGAGATGCAGGAAAAAGCTGATCTCGTCTCTCCCATGACAGTCATCTCATATCACTGAATTACAAATAATAGAGTAATTGTTTTATATAATTGTATAATTTCACTCTAAAAGTATTGTGTTATGCTATTATTGAGTGGCTACTTTGCATTGTATGTAATGTTTTTGAACGAATGACTTATCTGTTTTCTCATGGATCATTGCTGCAGCCACCATCTTGTTCCAGTTTATTGCTTCACAAAGACATGAAATCAGGTTTTCAGTTTCATAATCTTCTTTCAGATACTTATAATGAGGTTCTTTATCCTTTTTATCCAAATCCATGCATCCAGTGTGGCATTTCAGAAATGTTTGTGTTCAACAGAAAAGCGTTCCGACATGCAACAGATAACAACTATGCAGGATTGAGATGCAGGAAAAAGCTGATCATAACTTTGCTAATAATCTGGCATGATATTTGTTTAGGCAGCCTGAAACAGAGACTGTGACTGCGTCTCCTGTCAAAAGTTAGCAGCCCTAAATAATCACAATTTATTTCCTATAACAACCAAATACTAACCAAATACAAATATAAGCCCTTGTCAAGTGTTCATTTTCCCGGGTGACTTGGTATGTGGGTTACTGTAGACAAAAATTAGCCTGTCAGCTTTGTAAAGTGTTTGTGATCGTGAGATTAAAAGAACATTAAATCAGTGCTTTTGCTATCATAAAACATAATAAAAGGGGAAATAAAATGGGAACACCTGACTGATGACATGAATGAATCAGTTAATCATTCAAGCAGTTCGAAAGAGTGGTTCAGTGGTTAATAATCTGGGGCCGTATGTATAAAGCCGCTAAATATAAGCCCTTGTCAAGTGTTCATTTTCCCGGGTGACTTGGTATGTGGGTTACTGTAGACAAAAATTAGCCTGTCAGCTTTGTAAAGTGTTTGTGATCGTGAGATTAAAAGAACATTAAATCAGTGCTTTTGCTATCATAAAACATAATAAAAGGGGAAATAAAATGGGAACACCTGACTGATGACATGAATGAATCAGTTAATCATTCAAGCAGTTCGAAAGAGTGGTTCAGTGGTTAATAGTCTGGGGCCATATGTATAAAGCCTCTCAAAGTAAAAGTTTAGTCTTAAGTGTGTCAGAATTCTAAGAATGACGTAATTTTACTCTTATTCCTAGACTTAAGAATAGGAGTGATTCGTAAAGGTTCCAATAATATGGAGTTGATAAAACGATTCAAACTTAATTGTAAAGATCAAAAAGTACTTGTTGATCAAAAACTTTAACTGATAAAGTAAAAAATTTAATAACCTCTTCCACTCAACAAGTCAATGCTCTAACATCAGAAATTAAAGTAGTAATACATTTTTTTTTGGCTGAAAAATTGGAAAAATGCAGCAATGCACCGGTGATGACACAGTAAGCAGGTTCTTACATATTGTGGCACTAACCCCACCAAACACAACAGTGTTTTGATTTTTTTTTTTTTATGACCCCACATTTCACTTAAACCGTTAAAATACAAAGGACAAAAAAACACTGACCAGTGTTGCCAACTGCTTTCAATTGAAAGTAGCTCAAACTGGTCACTTAATGTTGCTAGATGACCTCATAGGTGAGTTCACTGATCTATATCTATATTTATATAGATCAGTGAACTCGCTTTATGACGTCATGGGAGAGTCTCGGAATGTAGATAACGTGTGTCCAAGAAATTGATTTTGTTGCTAGGCTTTTGAAAAAAGTCTCTAAAGAGATGCGGAAGTCACTAAATCTAGTGACAAAATCACTAAATTGGCACATTGACTACAACATACGTATTTACATTTCATTGCATTATTATCACAAATAAAACAACTGACTAAGCAACTATGCAATAGGCTTACAAAATCTTGCACGTTTTGTTTTTTAAATTAAGGATGAAAACATGTCAAATTTCCTAGGCCGGACATCACTTTTGGCCACTACTATATGGCAGTTTATTAAATTTTCAACTGACCGCCAAACCATACAGCAAAAACAACTTTTGTGAGGATTGTGGGCTTTCCAGGAGTTACTGGAGCCGTTGATGGAACTCATGTTCACATCACTGCTCTAACTGTAAATGAGGAGACATACCATTAAACAAAGCATTAGTAATCATTTGTGATAATTTTGCACAATGCAAAGCATTTAAAAATACATTTAAATTAAAATATTTCAGTCTTAATTAAATGATTGTATTGTAGTTACATTAAATGATTGCTGTTGTGCTGCTGTGACTTTACATGAGCAGGCTCACTATTGGCTGATTCAGAGGTCGAGGTCGGCCATTTTGTGTTGACATCATTGTAGTCCTTAGTTCACAACACTTAAGTGTCACCTCAGTCAACACTTAAGAATCAGTCTTAGACTTTACTGAAAGTTGCTTTTAGCGTCTTTATAAAAGTCTCCTTCTCTTAGAAAAGTCCTACTTTTTACTAAGATTTTTTTGACACTTAAGGCAAAGCTTAAGACTATTCTTATGAGCATTTCTGAGAAGTTTTATACATACGGGCCCTGATCTAACAACGCTGAAACATTTTCAACAAACTGTTCAAAATAATCAATTCAGAATGAGCCGACTTCCGAATGCTGGCTCTTTAGGGCCTGCTAGTGTTTGATTTTAGATTGCACTCAAGAGGAGAGAAGAGGAAACAAAGTGTTCAGCTGAAAGTAATCGTTTGTTAAAGACTTCTTTCAGAGGCCTACACTATCTGATCCTTATTTGTTCAGTTTAAGCTTGTAAATGAAGCAAAGTGAAACAGCAAAGCTAACAAGTGGGGTGAGTAAGTGATCTGAAGAGCAATATAAAAATAGCATGTTCACGGTATCGTTTTTTAAAAAAGTTAAGAAGCAAAAACTGTCAAACTGACAGTCTTTTTTTCTGATTTGGTCTTTCTGCTGCCAAAGTTTGGGTCTAAAAACACGTAGTCATCTTTCTCTCTCTCGCTACTGTTTCTACTTCAATTTTTGCATTGTAGACCAATATAGGCATACTCTGTACTTAAAAGGAATAGCTTTCCCATTTTCTCATCCTCATGTCATTCCAAATCAAAATGACTTTGTTCCAATGAACACGGTGATCCAAGTGATGTCCAAGCTGCACTTTTACATGCAATGTAAGTGAATGATAACCAGGCTGACATGAAAGTGTGTAAATTACAATAGAATTGTCATTTTTAGTGAGTTTTAGGTTCCAATGTCCAGAACAGAATTAACATTTTCAAACTAGTGGTTTGGTTTTTGGAATAATGGATTGAATTAAGGTCCAAAAAAGCATATTTTGAAGCTATGTTTTTCAAATGTAATTCGGACAAGCAGTTTACAGTAAAATGCATCTTTATATTTGTCTTATTGTGTTAATATATGTGACATGTGAAAGCTTGTGTCATTCTTCCTTAAAAGAATCAACGCAAATCTCCAGTAAAACAGAATTAACATTTTCAAACTAGTGGTTTGGTTTTTGGAATAATGGATTGAATTAAGGTCCAAAAAAGCATATTTTGAAGCTATGTTTTTAAAATGTAATTCGGACAAGCAGTTTACAGTAAAATGCATCTTTATATTTGTCTTATTGTGTTAATATATGTGACATGTGAAAGCTTGTGTCATTCTTCCTTAAAAGAATCAACGCAAATCTCCAGTATCTGATCTTGTGATTAAACCATGGAACGTGTCTGTTTATGAAACCTCAAACTGAAAGAATTGTGTCTGCGTATCTGTTGATTATCTTAGTTTACTGCCTGTAGTTTACAGTAAATCCGATCACAGCTCTTAATCACTTGATCGATCTGTCTTTGATCATGACCTAGTTGCGGTAGAGTGCGATCTTACTCATCTTTTTAGTTTGTGTGTGTTTGCATGTCAACAGATACCACAAGGTAAAATAATGCTGTAACAATTCTGCATGTTTATCTGTATGATATCCAGTGTTGGGGAAAGTTACTTTTAAAAGTATTGCATTACTTCCTAAAAAAGTAACTAATTGCGATACTTTTCATGGAAAGTAATGTTACATTACTTCCGTTAAATATGAGCAGGGCTTGATGGTTTTTAATATAAGAAGTTCTATTTATAGCAAATGTAAAAGCCCTTTCACGTCAAAAAGTGTAACCTCAGGCTGAAGGAAAAGTAAATTCACGTCTGTACAGTAGAACGCAGGAGAAGAAACACTCTTCAGCAATAAAAAAAAACACAAGCACAATTGTTAGTTTATCTAGTCATTTTTGCTTATTAGTATGGTTGAACTGGATCAGCAAAGGTCAGCAGCAAAGATATTGGTTAATAGAATGGGATTAGATACATTTGTGTTATTTAACATATTTAATTATTGCAGGTTTGCATCATATTCTGAGTTTGCGTTTTACTGTTTTAATGCATTTTGATGAATACTAAATCTGTTTTTTGTGAGTGGGATGAATTAATACACATTCACATTTAGTCTAGAACTACAGTAATATGTTCACACAGCGCACACAACTCCTCTGTTCTTCCGATTTCTCCCAATATGGGGACAGGAGACTTGTCAGTCAATAACTGGGAAAACAAAGTAACTAACGTTACTTTTTTGGAAAAGTAACTCGGATATTTTCTTGCAAATTAAAGTAATGCGTTACTTTACTAGTTACTTGAAAAAAGTAATCTTGTTACGTAACTCGCGTTACTTGTAATGCGTTACCCCCAACACTGATGAAATCTTGTGTAACTGCTGATAATTGGGAGTTCCCTTAATTCACTTGTGTTTTGATGCTACTTTCAGTTGTAATTTTTCATGTTGTTTTTCTGTTTCCTCAATTAAAGGTTCCTCAATCCAAGCTCATGGATTGAGTTTGAGCTCGTAATTCGCAATGAAGCCAGTGTTTTTCAGCGTGACTGTCCTGCTCATTTCCTACAACTGTTTGAGCGAACACATTTACACATATTTCGGTCTGGTCATCTGCTTCATGCTCTGGGCTAAAACGGTATTCCACGCAGAAAATGGCTTGTCGGATGGATTCGGCCGGGCGGTGTTGATTACAGGTTGTGATAGTGGATTTGGACATCACCTTGCAAAGAAACTGGACCGCATGGGCTTCACTGTGTTTGCCGGATGTTTATGTCCTGAGGGTCCCGGGGCTCAGAGTCTGGTTGAAGAAGGCTCTGACCGTATAAAGGTGCTCAAGCTGAATGTGACCAAAGATGAAGATGTCAGCTTTGCCAAGGATTTTATGCAAGCAAATTTGCCAGAGAAAGGTAGCTTAAACACTTCAAAGTGTCTTATTAATAGTATTTCAAGAATGAAATCCCTCTTTAAATCCCTCTTGTTCTGTATATTGTTGTATTTTTCAGGTCTCTACGCTGTGGTAAACAATGCTGGAATCAGTGACTGGGGAGAGACCGAGTGGAGCACTGCCAAGGACTTCCAGAACATGACTGACGTTAACCTCTTTGGTGCCATCAGAGTCACCATCCCATTCTTGTCACTCATTAGAGCATCCAAAGGTCATTGGTGCCTTCTATTCTAACTTGTGTATAATGCACGAAAGTCATTGTTGATTTAAAGTGCCCCTGTTATCCCTTTTTTAAGGTTCCTAATATTGTTTTGGGAGTCTCCTACAATAGGTTTACATCTATGCAAGGTCAAAAAACGCTTTTGTTTTCTCAAAATATGCATTTAATATCACATTTTCCAACGATTTGTTTGAAGCAGTTCTGAGATTGTCTCTCTAAACCCTTCCTTTCTTTGAGCCTACTCTGCTCTGATTGGTCAGGTGGCCCGGTCTGTTGTGATTGGTCGACTGTGTACAGCACGTGTCTGAAACGATACACCCATTGCCATAGTTGTGTATTTTGAACGCGCGATAGAAAATATAAACATCTATTATTTATCATACTTACAGGTTTTGATTCAGTGGAGCCAGCTGGTCCAAATTAACTGGGTACTGAGCTCATCTTTCAAGAGCAAGCGTTTGTGAATCCCACATTAAATTCCCAGAGATTAGAGAAACAGTTGTCAGTAACACAAAAAAGATTGGGGTTGTACTGCTGTGAATTTTAACCACTGATTCTTTGCAGCCTCATCTTTCCTTTCATAGCGTTGTGCACAGCGCAAACAAGGTCCAGTGATGGAGGGCGGGTCAAGCTGTTCACGGCCGGCCAACGTAGCACATAGGCGGGCATTATGCAAATGTGTTACCCTGTGACGTGTAGCTGTCACGGAAGTAGGATTTGAATTACTGACGACTCGTTTAGGCTGTGTAGAGTCAATTCTTTCTTTTGGGAGACAGTAACTTCATTAATCATGCACTTTCAGCTTTACAACTTCGCAGAAACCACTGATTCTTTGCAGCCTCATCTTTCGGAAGTCAAAATAAAACAAATTTACTTTCACAGCGTAGTGCACAGCACTGGAGTTTTAATTCATTACTGGAGTTACTAGAATTAACCGATTGGAGCTGTTCTCGAGTCGACAACTCACTGATTCAAATGAACCGTTCAGTGCGAGTCCCCAGTGAACTGAATTCACAAGTAAGAACCGCACGCGCGACTGATTCTGCTAAAAGTAAGTTACTAATGTCGAATTTTAGGATTAATTATTGTAACTGAAAATCATATTTAGGTCAAAACTGTCAGTTGTTTGTGAACTAAATCTGCTGTAAAGGGTGATCTATTTAAGCCCACTGAAATGCTTGAATGTAGACACATCAACATCTGTGTCTCTGTTTTAGGTAAAAAAAAAAAAAAAAAAAGAAACATTAAAATAACTCTTGCACATTCATATTCCCCGCTGCCGTAACGTTAACAGTTTTATTAAAATGCTAGGCATTTAGCCCTATGTGATGTCTGTTTTTATATTGTTTATCAACAGTATACATTTTTATAGTGTTTGGATTAACTACCCGAGTAGAGCGATATCATAACCATACTGAAAATAAGTAAATATTGTTAGCTGATGCTAATTGTCTAGCTAACAAGCTTGCTAGTGCTAAGTTGAGGTTATGTCTAAAAATTAAGTCCAAATATTTTTATTCAACCACCTAGATAGATTACATCTGGGGGGAAATAAAGGATGTGATGTTCAGAACATGGTAACTACAGTTATTATCAAAGTGGGAAGTGATGCCCTCTGGGGGAATTTGGCCAGGGGTGTTTTTACACCACAGACAAGGTTTGAGAAGAAAAAAATCATTATGAAAATATTATATTTTCCTTAATGTTCTTCCTAACTTCAGGCCTTATTCTCATGTCATATAACTGTGATGTTCTGCAAAACAACAAGCTTTAAAACACTGTTTTCTTACTGGTGAAAATCAGATGGTCAAATCTGTTTTCTCTCAGGTACACTACAGTGTAAGCTTCACAGTGAACATTACTACATCACTCTTGTCAACGTAGTCCTTATCAACAACAAAAACATATCTTGACTCCATATAGTGGTTGTTTTGGGAAAATCCCAGGTATTTTGAGCAGTAGGATTATAAAAAATGTGCTAATATTAAATTAAGTAGCCTATATAAAATTGCAAAATAAATCTATCAGTGCTTTTTTATTTAAGTACATAAAAAATCTAGTACTTTTGTACTTTCACTCGAGTAAAATTGAAAAAGGAGTACTTTTACTGGAGTAATACTTTATTATATGTATCTGTACTTTTACTCAAGTACTTTGTGTACTTCGTCCACCACTGGTGCACAGCATCTTCTCAACATGATGTTAAACACACAAACAAGCTACAGTGATGGAGGGCGGGTCTTCATAGAACATAGATAGGCATTATGCAAATGTGTTACCCTGTGACGTGTAGCCGTCACGGAAGTAGGATTTGAATTACTGACGACTCGTTTAGGCTGTGTAGAGTCAATTCTTTCTTTTGGGAGACAATAACTTTATTTATCATGCACTTTCAGCTTTACAACTTCGCAGATCATTTACATTCAAATGGAGGGCGGGTCTTCATAGAACATAGATAGGCATTATGCAAATGTGTTACCCTATGACGTGTAGCCGTCACGGAAGTAGGATTTGAATTACTGACGACTCGTTTAGGCTGTGTAGAGTCAATTCTTTCTTTTGGGAGACAATAACTTTATTTATCATGCACTTTCAGCTTTACAACTTCGCAGATCATTTACATTCACATACAGCTACATTACAGACTGCGTGAAAGGCAGAATTCCAAATGGCGTTATAGGGGCACTTTAAAATATTCCTTTACTGTACAAAGGCTGTCACTGGAGTAGCACCCTTTTAAAAGGTTATATTTACAGGTGGTTGACTGCTTTGTGTTTTCTGATAATCTTAGAACGCATGGTGGCCTATATAAAGCTGATTTATATCATATTACAGTATTTAACTTAAATAACATGCAATTGATAAAATGAAATTTATTTGATATATTTACTAAATTAGAAATAATGAATTTTAAATTAATCTGGATGGGGAAAATCATTTAAATTTGATAAGTCTGTAAAATAAACTGATTCTTCTTGATTCTGTAATCCTATTATTAGTATTTTTCACAAACGGTTAAAAACATGACTAAAAAGGAAGTAAACACTGACCAACAGTGCACCCAGTAAGCTTGTGTGATCTGGGAATCATATTTCGTCAAATAAAGACCAGGTAATGTTAATTTTGCATACAGTACACTGACATGACATAGCAGCAAACTGTATAGTGCAGCAATATTTGAAATCAATGATTTAAAGATTATGCTCTCATCTGCGCTCGGGTCAAGTGTTCTTAGTGCTGTCAAAATAAAAGCTGTTTCCGACACTTATGGGCTTATTGGTCAAACAGAAAAGCTTACTAAGTGATGTAGATAACTTAAAAATGCCAAATTTCGGCCAATATATCTGCCTTAACAATAGTTGACCACTGATATTTGCCATTTAGGTACTAGTATGCAGACTTTATGTAATACATACCTTTAAGGTAGTAATACTCACCCTTTAGAGGTAAAAATAGGCACAAAGTCTACCCTTTTGAAATGGTACTACTGCACCAGTGAAACCGGTTGCAACTTTTTTTTCTTCCTGAGAGTGTTACTTACTGCTTCTTTTAATTTCATCATTCATTCTTAGGTCGTATGTTATATGTGTCCAGTATCTTTTCTTTCTTCAACTGTCTGAACATGGGAGCATACAGTGTATCCAAACGGGGACTGGAAGCATTTGCAGACTGCTTGAGAGTAGAGATGGCCAGTTTTGGAGTTAAGGTAAGGCCTGATGTGTTCTTTTAAAGGGAAACTCACATTGTCATTGATGTTTACTGACCTAAGTGGACTCTCTTGTTGGGCTTTTATTATTATTATTATTCATTACAAATAGGACATTGCTTTAAACATAGTGCATTATTTTATTTTTCTGTTCTTGTAGGTCAGTATTATTCAGCCTGGAAATTTTGGCATAGCCACAAACATTCTGCACAAGAAAACCCCACAAGACGTATGGGATGAATTTGATGATGCACGTAAACTAACATTCAACAAAAAATACATTGAGATGGCATGTGAATATTTTAATTCATTGTGCACTTCAGGATTTAAAGATTGCTCTATGGTTATCAATGCCATGTTGCATGCTCTCACTGCTCCCAAACCTCAAACCCGATACCTGCTTGTTTCCTGGAGAGAGATGTTTTTTTTCTACATATGCCCTTTTCTCCCCACTTTTATCACTGATTCTGTGTTTCATGTAAGTTCGATGTATCGCAAGCGTAAAGTAATGCTTTACTCATAATTTGTTTTTTCATAATCAGACTACGAGAGCTCGCTTTACATAGACGACTCGAGTCCTAAGTGTTGCTGTAAGACTGATGTAACTCTAACATGAGACATGTTACAAAGTTTTTCTGGACAGTTGTACACAAATATGTTCTGAGACATTCTTTACTATAAATGTAGGTTATGTACTCCTTTCCCTTTTCTTTCTGAGTAAAAACATAAACTCTTTATCATAGATAATCTTGCTGAAGAATTTATCATAGGCAACATTAAAAGGACTTCAAAGGTCAAGAAAGTCTTCCAATTTATCCACTTTTTAATTGGACACATGAGGTGTCCTGAACTGTGACTGTTATTATAGATGTTTTTATGACTTCATACGAGTTGAGAAACTGTGGAATATTTATGCTTTTACAAATGCATTCAAAACACCACAGGACCATTGAAACTATTGAAGGTGAAAGGCTGAAAACCTAAGAAAAAAATGTGACCGGTTAACCTTAAAGGGGTCATGAACTGTTTTTTTTATTTTATTTTTTATAATGTTCTCTGAGGTTCACTTATAATGTTAGTGTGATCAAAAATACATCATAATTTAGAAGTAATAGGCTATTTTTTTATCCTGTTTTTGAGTCTCTCTGCAGAACGGTCTGTTTTTATAGGTGGGGTGCATTTAACACTCACAAGTAAACACCCACTGCTGTGATTGGCTAAGAGTTTTGCTTATTAAAATAACAGAGGGATACTGCTGTGACGTACTCTGAAAACAACATGGTTCATTTGGGTTAAAAGCATATAAATACTCAATATATCAAACTGTCTGGAACATACAATGCAAAACTGGTAAAAGCACGTTTACATTACGACATTACTGTCGGATCCGCTCTAGTCAGACTCAGCACTGCATTATCCTTTACTTTCAGTCTCTCTGAAAAGCCTGCATCATATGGTCTTGTTTAAAAATATATCCGTAGCAAAGTAAAACAAACAGTGATTCACTGACACGATCTGGAGCTCTTTGCTAATTTTACCCCGTGTTTACACCGAAAGTGATAATAGACAACAGAACCCATTATAATCGGTGATCCTGTCTACACTGGATTCGGCACGGATTGACGTAACAAATTCCTGACAGTAAAATGATGTCCTGCTCTATTTCTGACATACAAGCATTCATGCCGCTTCTGACCTGAAAGAGAAAATTATTCACAACATGACGCAACAGCACTCGCGTCCAATCTAGATACTGCATGTAATCAGAAGGAAGGCAATTCGAAGACAATTTTTCACAATTTACACTACACAGTGTCTTGTAATCTTGTAATATCATCTGTATGGTTCTGTTGATGGAGTAATCCTGTGTTTGCGTCTCTCTAGTGTTTCCTCTCCTCCTACTACAACGCGAATCAGTGGGCGGGGCTAAAGAGGCAGTGATGTAGAAGTAGTCATTGATCTTCTCCTGCGGAGACGGTGCTTAGCTGCATTATTAATTCATTAAGTGGTACATTCCAAAACGAGTAATTTTCTGATCTTGGTTTCAGTAAAAGCTGTTTTTAAACTAACGAGAAAGTTCTGAAACTTACAGGATGTTTTTATAGTACATTGACCTATATTGACATATGTCAGAAGATCAAGGGAAATTAGATTTTTCAGTTCATGACCCCTTTAAAATCGTCTCAGGTTACACATGTATCCAAGGTTCCCTGAGAAGGGAACGAGACACTGTGTCCTCTAGTGGCTGCTATGGGGAACACCTTTTGGTGCAACCAGTATCTGAAGCACATGTCTAAACACGATAATAACATTGTCTGGCGACAGCCTGTGACGTGGAAAAATGACTCTTTGTTATTGTCTTCTTGCATTATTAACAAACTATTTTCCTGTTTGACACTGTAAAGCTTCTTTGACACAACCAGTATTGTATAAAGCGCTATACAAATAAAGGTGACTTGACTTGACCACAGTATAAAAATGCGCCGGGAGAATGTCATCCACTTCTTCGTCTGAACCTCGCCTCCGAGGCAGGGCAAGAAAAGAGGACGCAGTGTCTCCTTCCTTGAGATGTTCCTTCTTACTCTGGTCCGGACTAGAGCACTGAGAACACCTCCTCTGGATCACCTTCCTCATGTCTTATTGTTTGACTCACACCTCCGCGTGGCAACACTAGTCTTCTGAGGACCCCCCTTGATATTCGGGCTCAGACTTGGGCCTTCAAGTAATGAAGGACTTAAAGGCAACCAAGCGCATCTTCGCATCCTTAAACTTCTCGTTCGCCATCTCAACGGGAGTGCCGAAAAGTTCAGAAGGTGATACTGGCACATCCGGGAGCAAGTCCTTCTCTTTCGTCCTGATGTCGGACAGATTCACCCACAGATGCTTCTCCTTTGCCACCATGCCCGCCATGGACCTGCTGATGGCAGTGGTGGTCTGCTTTGTGGCACAGAGTGCAAGGTCTGTGGTGTAACACAGCTCAGCTACCTCGTCAGTGGAAAGACCCCAACCCTTATCCAGGTCTTTCAGCAGGTCAGCCCGGTAGGCTTGAAGCAACGCCATAGTATGTAATGCAGCTACAGCCTGACCTGCTGCCGCATATGCCTTGCCATTCAAATGAGATGTATCACATAGGGGTTTGGATGGCAAAATGAGAGCCTTAAGAGAAGATGTCTCTCCCCTAGAGAGATAGCGGGCTAGCGTCTCTTCAATTCAGATTTTTCCAAGCCTTGTCCATCTCAACATGGAGATCGTGAAGGAATGGGAGGTAACCCTCTAACTTGAGCTGGAGGGTTATGGCCAGAAAGGAAGTGCTCATCCAGACAGCCTCGAGTGGTTTCCTTCCTGACAAGCTTCCACGGCCATGGTGGAAAAGAACAGCGTTCTTACCGGAATGCACATGCTTCAAACAAAACAGTCCTTGAAGACGATGAAGAGGATGACGTATTCTCCCAGCGCCCTTTTATACTGTGGTCGAGCCGGTAGTGATGTCACAGGCTGTCGCCGGCCAATGATATTGTCCTCTGCTTTAGACACCAGTCGTGCCGAAGGCGTTCCCCATAGCAACCGCTGAGGACGCAGTTTGAGTTCCCTCAGAAGGAGAACACTACTGTTTCAAAACTTTAGGGTAGTAATGTTTTTTTTTCACATTGAAGATGTTAAATTGATCAAAAGCGACACCAAACACTTTTAAATTGTTACAAAAATATTCTTAAAAAAAAATACAAATTATATATATGTATGTATATGTGTGTGTGTATATATATATATATAT